GGGGCCCAGGTTCTTGAGCCCACCTGCTGCCTTCCCAGATGCATTAGCAGGTGATAAAAGTGGAGTAGCTGAGACTCCCATGAGCACTTAGATATGGAAGGCAGGCATCACATGTGGCCACTTAACTTACTATTCCATAACACTGGCCCTAGTATTCTGGGTTTTGATATCTCATTGCTATTTTAATTTGCCTTTCTCTGTTGACATATGATGTGAAAGATCTTTTCATATACTTATTTGACATTTGCATATCTTCTTTGGTGAAGTTAAAGTCCTTGGCCCTTTTAAAAATAAGGTTTTTGTTTTTTACAGAAATAACAATGCAGAATGGAAGTTCCTTTTTAATAAGAAGATTTTATTCACTTGAAAGAATTGAAGAGGGAGAGAGGAAAAGAGGGAGAGAAGAGAGGGAAGAAGGGAGAGGTAAAGAGAGGGAGAGAGAAAGAGAGTTTTCCATCCACTAGTTCACTTCCCAGATGGCTGCAGTGGCCAGAGCTAGGCTAGACTGAAGCCAGGTTCCTGGAGTTTCTTCTAGGTGTCCCACATGGGTGGCAGAGGCTCAAGCACTTGGACCATCTTCTGCTGCTTTCCCATGTGCATTAGCAGGGAGCTGGTGGGAAGTGGAGCAGCTGGGAGTCAAACTGCCACCTATATGGGTTGCTGGAGTCTCAGGCACCACAATGCTGGCCCCAGATTGTTTTCTTATTTCTTTTCTTTTCTTTTTTTAAATTTATTTGACAGATAGAGTTATAGACAGAGAGAGAGAGAGAGACAGAGAGGCATAGAGAGAGGTTTTTTATCTGCTGGTTCACTCCCCAATTGGCCGCGACGGCTGGAGCTGCACTGATCCGAAGGAAGGAGCCAGGAGCTTCCTCTGGGTCTCCCATGTGGGTGCAGGGGCCCAAGGACTTGGACCATCTTCCAGCTGTTTTCCCAGGCTACAGCAGAGAGCTGGATCAGAAGTGGAGCATCAGGGACTCGAACTGGTGCCCATATAGGATGTCGGCACTGCAGACGGCGGCTTTACCCACTGCGCCACAGCACCGGTCCGCTTCTCTTTTCTTAATCCCCAGTATCTTGGATATTTGCTTTCCCTAAGTTCTCATAAATTTTCTTTGTCTTGATTCTTTTTCTCCTTCCAACAGTGTATTTTCAAATAGTTATCTTCAAGTTCATGGTTTCTTTCTTGTGTTGATCTGTTGTCGCTGGTGACTTCTATAATATGAAATTTCATTTAGTACATTTTTAAAAATTTATTTGACAGGTAGAGTTACAGACAGTGAGAGAGAGACAGAGAGAAAGGTCTTCCTTCCGTTGGTTCACTCCCCAAATGGCTGCCATGGCCGGCGCTGCACTGATCTGAAGCCAGGAGCCAGGTGCTTTTCCTGGTCTCCCATGCAGGTGCAGGTCCCAAGCACTTGGACCATCCTCCACTGCCCTCCTAGGCCACAGCAGAGAGCCGGACTGGAAGAAGAGCAACTGGGACTAGAACCTGGCACCCATATGGGATGCCGGCGCCACAGGCGGAGGATTAACCAAGTGAGCCATGGTGCCAGCCCCATTTAGTACATTTTTAGGTTGCATTTGACAATTTTAATTCCTACATGATTGACTTCTAGTACCTTACTTTGGTTGCGAGGTGAGTTTCCCAGATGTTCTTGCCACCAGTCTCTGTAATCTGGTCTTCTAGAAATTCTAAGCAATCTGCATTTTCTTCTCTGAACTTGTGGATACTTCTGCTATTTCAGCTCTAGATGGCACCCTAATCTGAAGTTTGCAGCAAGTCTGCTGTTGCTGTGTTGTTGCTATTTCAGTCCTAGAGTAGTAAGCTGTTACCTCAGATTTGTCTCTAATTGGTGTGCCATTCAGGATGGACAGGGGAGTTGTCTAGTTCAGTTGTGTAGTTCATAGTCCTGTGGCCACCAAAGCAACAAAGGTAGATTTCACCTGGAGCCACAGCCAGTAGCACAGCACAGGGTAGGACCAAAGCCCACACTACTATGGGATGTCTACTGCTGGCATGGACTCACAGACCAAGGTTGCTGCAACAAGCCACAGATAATGACACATATCTCATCAACTTGTATTTCACTTGGTACTAGGACAGATCTAGAAGCTCCATCTGTGGTGCTGGCCTAGTGACAGGGACGATTGGTACCTGTCTAGTGGTGGATTTTACCATCCTTGCATGTGAGTCCCACAACACAGTCCTGTGGTTCACTGCTCTCTTTCCAAGGTTGCAGGGTGGAACATGATAAAGGCATCCATGGCCTTCAAGGCTGGCACTTGTCTGGGTCATGCCTGAGTCTCAGAGTCACCAAGCTCTTGAACATCTTGGGAGTACATGCTAGGCCCACATGACACAGGTGGTAATAAATGCTAAAACAAGTTTATCCCCAACCAGAATGCAGATCTTATTTTGGTGTTGGGGCAACTCTACAGAGTCCATCTGTAAGCAGTGGCCTGTGGATAGAGGCCTTTGGATTTTAATCTTGTGCTCTGTTTCATAGCAGCAGCAGGCCTGGCTCTGAACTCCAAATCAGAGTCCTTAGTTTCCATTTCTGCCCATCCTTCCAGCATGTGGCGTCTTGCTCCACTGTCTGCTGGAATTTGTGAGGGCAGAGTGGAGACAGTTCCTTGGCCATATGGCTAAGGAGCATTCAAAGACTTCATCTGCAGGTAAGAGCCTGGAGCATGAGTCATGGGCCCTTTTCAGCATGGTTTTTGTTGTGATATACCTGGTACTGGTTTAAAGTCTAAGGGCTGGACTTACTTCATCGTTCTTCTAAGTGAGAGATGAAGTTTGTTTCTACACTGCACCTCTTGGAGCCAGGGGAAAGGTGACACTGGCTTGTCTTTCTTTCATGGTTTCTTCATTGTGTCTTCCCTTCTGGTTCCTGAATCCAGGCACCTTATCTCTCACTTTGCTTCTGTAGCTCTTATTGAGGTGTAATTGTGTGAATAGCTGTTTAAATCTGTGTCTCTAGGGCAAGAGGGTCCTTAGAGTTTCTGACTCAGCTGCATCTTGCTCTGCTTACCAGTGTGTTACTCTACATCTTAGAATAATGTATGTATGTGCATGAGTGTATATGTCCACATACATAGTTACCTGAATATACATTCGTAAATATTTGCTTATATTTTCAAAAAGATGCAAAGGAAAACAGAAGGAAGGAAAGGACAAATCACAACTTCCTAGAAATACTTGTTTACAGGGAAGGATTAAGAATAACTGAGGCAAGAGGGATAGAAGTGAGATTGTCCATCCAAATGCATTCATTATTTTATAATTTTGACTTTTAAATCCTATAGATATTTCACATAACCATAATGTAACATCAAATCAAAAGTAAATAAAGCAAATTTTAGAACTCAAATAAAACTAAACATGTGAATTTAACTGTGTATCAAGTTGGTGACTTATTTCCAGTGATTTATACATTTCTAGAGACAAATATTATAGGGACAAAAAATGGAAGAAAACAGTGTTTGGTGATCATAATGTAAGAATATTGGTATTTTTTAAAACTAACACATTTCATCATAGGCAAATAAATAATCATATTAAAGTCTAGGAACAAAATTTTTTATTGTTAAGAACAAATACAGGCATATGTTAGGTCAAAGATATATTCAATGCATATATCAGTTGATAAAAGTTAGTATGAATTTATGATGCATTTTATGCCTTCAAAAATATTTGAATTTTTTAACCCTCTTTAGTGAAGAGGCCTAGAAGTATGAACAGCATCCTGATAGTGATCACTCTCATGGTCTAGATTGTAGTCTTTAAATATTATTTTACACTAATAAGAGCCCAAGGTGTTTGAGAAATGACTGACTCCAGATCTGGGGCAGGAAATATGAGATATAAACCTGGAATATATTATAATAGAAAGCAGTGGTGTTAAGAAAGATACTGTGGTCATGTCATAGAAGCCAGTTTGAAGAAAGTACCATTGGTCAAATTTTAGACAATTTAGCAAACAAAGATGCTAGATTGAAAGCAACAAATATGTGAAAACTGAAAATATGAGAAAAGCCAAACAAACAAAAGTGCATTTGTTACTTTTGGAAGATAGGAAGTAAAGTCAGTGTTTTCAATGCTTGGTAATTAAAATAAAAATGTTACCCCACTTTTCTTATTAGAATATTCAAAGTAACCAAATCATTGAGAGGAAACTCTTTTTCAACTAATAAATGAAGTGATAAGATTAGACTACCATTAAGTTTATCATCTTTATTCTATATTAGTTAAGATATCTATGGAACATGGTCATTGATGGTTAGTAATATGCTTAGGTAGAAGATAGATAAGGGAGCCCTAAAGCAGAAGCACACAGTTGACAACACCTGACCCCAGCGGGCCAACTTAATATTGCAGCTGTTCTATGTTAACTGATAGGATACAGTACGAGGTGCACAACTTTTCAAAACTGTAACTTTTTCAGGCACCTAGAATTAACTACCAGTGTATATGGCATAAAGAAAGTAGAGGAATATATTAAATGACATCTCAGGGGTGATCTTAGGCAAATCTAGAATGCCAGGGATTCTAAATGATAAATGACCTAGTTTCTTCTATAAGTAGTAGGCAGGAAAGAAAAAAAATGAGGGAAATGTTAGAAATTAAAAGAGAAAGAAAATATCATTGAAAAACAACGTGTCATTCTTGTTTGGATCCCGCTTGAATAAACCGGTAATACAAAGTCAATGGTATAATCAAGGAAATTTGAACAGGATTGAATTTTAGGTATTGAAGAATGCATAATGTTTTGTATGTGATATTAGCATTGTGTTCATGTTAAAAAAAAAACAGTTGAGAGCCCTAGAAATACAAATTGCAGTACTTACCAGTGAAATGATGCAGGTATCCCAAGGGATGACTTAACCCACTGTACCACAGCGATAGCTTCCTAGAGAAATGTGTGGTAAATCTAGTGCTGTGTATTCGTTCTCTCATATTTCCTTCTCATCAAGTCCTAATATTTGTTTTGCAGGTACAGCAGGTACAGACTGTGCAGCAGGTACAACATGTTTATCCAGCTCAGGTGCAGTATGTGGAAGGAAGTGATACTGTCTATACCAATGGAGCAATGTAAGTTTATATGTGGGGCTCTTTTTAATCCATGGATCAAAGAGAAAAACAGTATACTTTTCAACACATCCTAGTATTCCCAACCTGTTTCCTTGTTTTCACACTATTATTTATAACTAGAACACAGTTATTGAAGTTAAACTCATGTTTAGTGCCTTGTCTATGTTTATTAAGATCATGTGCTCATTTTCCTCTCACTTAACCCTAACAGGAGATTAAATATTAAAATTGCTATCCCTTTGATAGTTTTCCCAAGATTCAGAAAAACATCATTAATGATTTCTGTATTTTAATGCTACCTTATTAAACCTATGCTTTTTATGTAAAGTGAATTTGTGAGTGTATGTCTTTGGAAATTAATACAAAAATCATAATTAGGAGTTTGGGGATTTTTTCCCACATTTATTAAATAAATCCATCTACATGAAACTGCCTGGTATTCAAAAAGTCTTATTTCTGTCTCTGAACTTACCCCACCAAATGATTTCCTTTGCATCAGTAGTCATGCAGATTTGTAAACAAACTGGGATTTTTCAGGCAATTTGAAATAAGACTCAAGATCCTATCATACATAAAGGGACTAGGAATCATTGCAAGTCATTAAGATTGTTTTCAACTTGGGATTTTATTTGCAACCTGTTGACTTTCTGGATTAACCTGAAATGAATTCACATTCTCTGCCCCTTCTGTTCACTTCCCTTCAGTGTTGGCATACCCCATGGTGATAACCTCTGCTTTCTTTTATTTGTAATATATCTCTAGTTTCCTCTAGTGATTTCATTGATACCCATGATATCAAACTGTAAGCTGCATGAGGGCAGAAATTCTACCCCACCACCACCACCGCCATAGCTCTGACATTGGAAGAATGTGTGATACATCAAATTTAATTGTTATCTATTATTATTTTAAGTGAAAACTTAGAATCTTGTATTACCTCTGTATCAGTTTTATAATTGTAGTCTGGGCACTCAAATGTGAACCCCTTACTGTTCTTTCCAGGGAGGTTCATGCAGCTTACAGTTCCTGAGCTGTTGTGAAGATTTGAGGGACTATATTTAAACATGTAATACAGGGCCTGGTGCATGATAGATGGCACAAAGCTGAAAGATTTCCTTGGAACCCAGCTCTTGTCTATTTTCTTATCACTTTTGGTTACTGATACTTTCCATGTCACCTGCGTTACTTACAAAATAAAATCCAACTTTTTCAGTTGGCATTGTTTCCTTTCCTACCTCTGTAGTTTCACTGTCTACCTGTTCCAGACATAACCAACTTTGTGTCTTTCCTCCCAGATAATCCTCCTTCATGCCCCCTCTGTTTTGGGATATGTTTTCTGTGCTGCAGTAGCGTTCCCTGCCTCGTCTCCCTTTGCCCCTGCCTCCCACCCCCACTCTATGTGGTTTGGATAGACTGACACACCATTCCCTACTTTGTGATTATGGACTCCACGCAGCTCCTCTGCTTATCCTTCCTCTGTCAAAGAGGAATTATACCATGTCTTTTCCTCCCAGCCTTATCCTATGAGAAGCATGTTTATGTTTCCCATACTAGGAAGAAATCTCCACAAATGGGAACTTGTCATTTTATTTCATTTACTTTTATTAGGTTACAGACACATAATAAAAAATCTGTTACTCCAGTGAATATATAACTCTTCACATATTTTAGACACACTGTGAATATTTTTTTTTTACCTGTTCGTTGTATAGCACCAGGACTTCCTAGAGTCTTATTTTATAATCTCTATCATAAACCCAAAATACTGTTGGCATTTATACCAAGTAAAAGAAAATGCCTGCCATTTGGACCTGTAGCCTATCAAGGAAAATAAGTGGTTTTCTGGACCCTGCTGGAGGTCACCAGGTTGTCATTTCATCTTTGCCTGTGATGCCTAGTGATGGTTACCTCCAGGGGGAATCGGAGAACAGGAGTTTGTAGCTTTTCTATACAGGCTGTATAGACAGAAGAAGGTGGCAAAGGAAAAGGGCAGTTGGAGTGGGTATTGAGGGAGTTAGCTGTACTGTTGCTGTCACAGTCATTCCTCATTTTGTATACATCCAAGGTGGGCTGGAGAGATTAGACTCTGCTATTTAGAAATGTGTGAATTTGGGCTGTACTGTTTTATCTGTAAAATGGAGATGATTAGCTTATCAAAAGTGCTTTTTATGCACCTGAGGAATATTTAGCACCTAATAGACTTTAATTGTTGCTGTAATTGTATGTGTTTTAGTTATTTGTTTGCATGTTTCTCTCCCACTGCTAATTTTCAGTCTGTGATTTTAAACCACCCCATCCCTGATTTAGGGTGTTCCACATAATAGGTAAATGTGAATTAAATAAATTCATTCACTCATAAAATCTCAGAAAGATAACATCTCAAATTGAATCTTGAACAGGGGCCATTTATGTGCAGAAATTATTCAAAGTAAATATCTGTTACCAGCATATATTTTCTGTGGCCCACTGATTTAGTTGGTCAGATAACAACTAATGAGATCTAGGTCATAAGTTCATTTGCCATAAGTCCAATTAGTTTTGTTCTGATGTGTGGACCCAGATTGTATCCTTCAGTTCTAGCCAATTGTTTCACATATGTGCACCCTTGGTCACAAGGGAAAAGGTGCAGGCACATCTTTAAAACTTTCCATTACTATCATAGTTTTTTTACAAAAAGTTTCTGTAGGACCACTTTTTCATATTTAATAAGGAATTATCATTTTGTTGTCATGAATTATACACAGAATTTTGATTGCTAGTGATCTATAGTATTTTTCCTACATAGATTGAAAAAAAAACATTTTGTTTCAACTTAGGCTATTTTGATCTTTATAATTTTGTGGTGTTGACATTTGACTGTAATTTTGTCTCTCATATTCATTTTAGGATCTCTGTGCTCCTTTTTATTTGATATTCTTCCATGTGTGTTAGGAAAGAATATTTTATATTTTATATTCTGCTATACTGAATTAATAGCTACCTAGTGGTTGATCCCTGACTTCGATCATAGTCAGAGTCCCACTTCTGTGGGATATAATAAACACTGTTTGCTATTGATACTCCCAGAAGACGGAGCCTCTGATCTCCATTGTGATCTTTCAGGCACTCAACCCCTGGCATTCCAGCCTGTGCATGCTCAAAGAACACCAGCTCACTGGTGCCCTTGTCACCAGCATCCTCATGTTGGTTGTGTAGCCATGATGCGTGGGTCTCACTCTAGGGCTGATGACAGCCCTCACGGATGTGTGTCATCACTTATGAAAGTGTGTAATCATCTAATCTGATGATACTAAAGTGTTTACCTGGTTCTCACTGTGAATAGGAACAATTACTGCCAGCCTAACAGTCACAGCACTGGGAGTTAGTAAGCATATATTTCAGTTGAATGACTGAGACTGTTTTACATTGCTGAGAGGTGGAGAACAGCTTCGCTCAGGGGGTAGGCAACTTAATTCATTTTTACTTCACTTGGTTTTATCCTTGCTTCCGTAGGAACCCAATCTATACCATTGATGAGTTTCTTTGCATTAGGTTTTCCAAGGACATTGTCCCAAAGGTTAAATGATTACATATCCATTTTAACAGATTCTTACATTTTATAATCTGTAGTCATTCAGAAGACAGTAGCTAACCAAGGTGAAAAACATTGTAGACAGAGACTATTTCAGTTAAAACTTCTTGTTGTAGCTAGGAAACCAAAGTTTTAAAAAATAAAGTTATTTTTTCTTGCCCTCTCCTCCTTTTTTAAGTCACACTTCCCCCTTGCACCTATGCTAGTCAAAGTGGAAACAAAGCGTGATGCTATATTATGGCCAGTTTAAGAAGTCTGTATTTAGATTTTTTTTTTCTGTAAAACACTCTTTGAAACCTACCCACTGTTTAGAGAAGATCCATGTTTTCAAATGCAGAAATGTTCATTGTGTGGATATCTGTTGTCAAAAATTCGGACAGCCTTCTTCCAGCCTTCCTGTTTAAGTTATAGATTTTCCATCAGCTATTATACAACATGACCTAAACTGTGTTTCAGAAAGTATTAGTCTTCATGAAAGAGCTCTGGGGTGAGACAAACAGAGGGACCCTGCTTGACTGCTGTCCTCTTGAGCACTCTCAATCCTATTAACCTTTTGAAGGTACTGAGAAGTCCCATAAGAAAGAGGCCCAGCATTCTAAAAAGTGAGCCACAGAACTATTTTGTCTGAATAATAGGTAGTAGCATCACATGGTACATTTGGGGAGGTGGTACAATCATATATTGACATTGAGTAGTTACTCAGAATCCGTATGTGTATGTGGACGTGTCTCACGTTTTTTGTCATCTCTTGAACATCATGTAGTTTAGCACTTTTTCTAAAATCATCCAATTGTTTTTCTCATACCCTTTAATTGATTAATTAGGACCCTTAAATGGAATACATTTCAGGCTCTTTTTTTTCCCCTCTCTTTCAGTGAAGTATTAAGCTACTATATTTGCAGGTAAATTTTGCTTTTTTGCTATCATTCAAATGCTCTTTGCTTAGAAGAAATGGTTATATGGAATTTCAGAAATTGAAGTAGAGGGTTTGCTTCATTCATTTATAATTCACTAATCTACACACATGAACTGGGGTAAAAGTGGTTTACGAATCCGCTTGTGATTTGGGTTTCAGCAGATGTGTTACTGGTTTCACGGGAAGACCTTTTGGAGAAAGAACTGTCTTTCTTTGGCAGTGAGCATGAAGTTAGAGTGGGGTCTGTTCTGTTAGTCACATCAGACTCCCCCTTTCTCCGAAAGTGGAAGACTTTGAAATGTAACTTCTCAGAATGTCAAATATGGGAAAGTTTGTGGAGATTGATTATTACAGCCCTTCTATTTTATATCTGAACCTTCTGTGGCCCAGAAGGGAGTAATAATTTGCTCAGCTAGTTAGATTCCATAGTTATTTTCTGCTCTGAAAGCATGTTCCTTTCCATGATCTGCTGATACCAGCCTTTTGATCCTGAATTATTTGGGGGATAAAGGA